TGGTCTAGTGCATGGACCTAGTGTGTGTGTGTTTGGGCGGGAATGTGGAGGTCTTGGGGAAGGAAATATAAAAATTTTTGAACATGTACGAGTCTGTCTGAGACTACAAAGATTACACTGAAGCTGAAAATCTTCTCTACCCAGACTCCTTAAAGCAGCTGCCCAGGCTGTCACCCCACAGCTACGCTGGCTGACAGCTGACATGCTCTCATGCTCCTGGGCTTTCAGGGGGCCCAAAGTGGCAGCAGTCTTCCAATTTCAGCAGGCACTGGTCTGCACAGCTCAGGACCAACTACGTTGCTCCGTGTCACATGTCAGATGTGATTGGGCCAAAAGAATCATGAAGCTCATTAAAATAAAGGTATCTGGGCCTCCCACCCAAGCAAAGCCCTGAAAATGATACTTTCTCCCTCAAACACCCAAAAAACAATGTTTTCCTAAGTTAGAATTCCTTACTAGTGGATCTGGCTGTTGCTGTGATAATCAGTAAAGGGGGGGAAATCCAGTAGCGATAACATACAAATCCCCAATTCTCAAGTCTAATGGAAAAAAAAGATTCCATTGAAAAAATGCTAAACCTTTACGGGAAGCACTGGAATAAAGTTCTTTGCAAATAAGATATGACTTCAAATAGTGAAAGGTCTCTGAGTTGCTCTCATAAACAAACACTTAGAAAAATGGCTCTGGCTCAGGTGGGTCCTGATAAAGATGTCAGCAGTGAGTGTTTCAACATCACGGATTAGTATTTACTGAGCTCTGTAGAAACAAGAAGGTTCTAAGGGCTTGGTCAGCTGGGCGGGGCAGGAGGCCTGGGGTGGGAGAGAAGCAAGGGGAAGGCGGGGGAATTACGAGGGAAAATACCCAGGCAAATGTCCTAGCTTTCCAAACTCTCTGGCTGAATGATCTTGGAGGAAGTCACCTGTCCTCTTCCAACCTCAGTGCTCCCATCTGTAAAATGGGAACAAGTTTACCTGTTCTTATCGACTCAGAGGTCATTCTTTTTCTTCTCCCTCTCACATCCCATGTCCAACTCATCGGCAAATCCTGACTCTCCCTTCAGAATTGTGTTCGGAACCTGGCCAGTCCTCAGTGCTCTCCCACCGCTCAAGCCTTGGTCTCCTCGAGTTGGGTCCCTCTAGCAGCAGCTTACTGGCCTCCCTGCAGCTGCCCCTGCCCCCTTCCTACAATTCTCATCAAAGCAGCCAGAGTGATCTTGCTAGACAGTTCTGAAGTCAGATCATTTGCTCCAAACCATCCACAGGGGAGAAAGCCCAGGTCCTTGAAACGCCCCCCCACCCCCAACACACACTGCGTCGTCGCCCAGCCCGGTCATTCAGCTGTGGCCCTGGTGGCTGCCAGATTCACACAGCAGGCACCGCTCCCTCAGGGCCTGCCATTCCCTGCACCCGACACTCTCCCTCTGACCATCCCATTGAAAACTGCAACTTTCACCTCTGCCCAACCTTCTTTCTTGGTTTATTTTTTTCCATAGCATTTAGGGAGAAAGGTGTTTGTTGTCTGCTTCCCTTGGTGAAAATGGAAACATGATGACAGTGATTTTTGTCTGCTTTGTTCTTCATTGTACTCCTAGTACCTAGACCACTGCCTGGCACACACAGGTGCTCGGTAAGTTTCTACTGGATGGATGGATAGATGGATGGATGGATGGGTGGATGGGTGGATGGGTGGAAACACAGCATGTGGACTAAGAGCA